ACATAAATATAGAATAACAAATACGTACGCAATAATCGTTCAAATTACGGAGAGCCGAGCGAGCAAAGACGTGTGCGAGCTTTCTGAATAAACGCCTCATTTTCTTACTGTTAAAACCATTGCCTCGTGAATTATTCATATCCTTTACAATTGGGGGCTCGTCCGGGATCGAGGCTAACGAGAAGGTGAGGAACGAGGAGAAGAAGAATATAAGGAAAGCATGTCGCACAACGGCGAACTACACGACGGCACAGAAGGCACGTTGCGAGTCGACACGATGACGATAGCCCAACTCAAAGACGAGCTTAGAGGACGTCGGCTGAAAGTGACGGGCAACAAGGTCGATCTCGTAGTACGATTGAAGGCGGCTCTAGTCCCGGACGATCAACACGAAGAAGAAAGCGACGATGACGGGTCCAGCGGCGAAAGCGACGATCGACGAAGAAGATGGCGCCGGCGCTAATGGTGCCGGAGACGACGAGGCACGGGGCTCAAAATTCGTGCCAACTTTCAAGGACGTGGAGGAGTCAATCGATACTTTCAGTGGAGACGACGGCAAAAACATAAAGACGTGGATCAGGGAATTCGAGAACCTGGCGAAGTTGTGTGATTGGAATGCGGTACGGAAAATAATCTACGCGAAAAGACTGTGCGAGGCTCTGCTCGCTTGTTTGTAAAATCTGACAACTGTGAGAAGACGTGAAAAACCATGAAGGCCGCCCTGAAGACGGAATTTGCACTGAAAGTGGACAGTCGCATGGTGCATAAGGAGCTGCAACAAAGAAAAAAAGGACCGATGAAATCATGTCAGTATCAGACTACGAATTGAGATTGAGATTGGATTGAAATTTGACCAATCAGAGCAAAGTTTACTAAATTTGAGATCAGTTTTCTCTGTTCTGATTGATTGAATTTCAATCCAATCTCAATCCCAATCCGTAGTCTGATACGGGCTTCACGAATATTATGCTACAAGATGATGGAGATAGCAGCACGAGTGGACGTCTAGACGAAGGTAGTTTTCCAGTATATCGTTGACGGTATTGACGACGAAGGGTACCGTAAGTCTGTGTTATACGGTGCGAAAATTGTGCGCGAATTGAAAGACAAATTCGATATATACGCAGATATGTTCGGTAAAAGAAAGTCTAAAACGAGCGAAACTAAGAGAAAACTGCCTTCGAACTCGGAGAATAAAGACGCAAAATGTTGTTAAAACTGCGGCGATAGCAATCATTTAAGGAGGTTCTACAGGTACTCTCTATAGTCAGTTGAGAGATGAAGAGAAAATCTTCAAATTCATCGATTCTAAGTATTCATAAAATATTTTCGTGAATTTTGATGACGTTAGAGCTTATATCATACCCATATTAGTCGAAGCAAGGAATAATTAAAAATATCGTGTAAGTGCTCCTTTGACTCTGGCGGCTTATAATGGAAGAAAATGTAGTAACGTCGCGAACTTGACAGTTCTGCTCATATGACCGTGGTTATTTCACAATTTCACATAATTCTAGAGCGAGTACTTCTCCGTAAGCGCTCGTAAACGTTAGGTGCTTAAGTTTGAGGTGCTGTCATACTGTGGTGCTGTACTGGCTGTACACTTTTCGCGCGGGTGCAGTCGCTGCGACATTGCCAAATCTCCCTTGTTATTTGAAGCACGCTACGTGAACTGTGATATGGCCTGTTTCAATAGCCAATATCACAAAATTTTACGCGATAACCCTTGTTTTTCTCTATATTTCTGAAAAGCTTAGATTAAGATTTATAAGAGCTCCGGCCGTTTTTTGAATCTCTGGTAAGTTGCCTTTATATAATTAATATCTCGTTTCCTGTCTCCAAGAGCCCCTCTGCCATATGTAGCTTATGTTAAAAACTGTGATTTCAAAATTCATTTTTGCAAATTTTTACACGGTAACCGATGCTAAAATTTTTCGAGCACTTTTCTCGCATCTTAATTTATACGTCCATAAAGTTTTTTCCAATTTTTAGATACATCCATTATCTGTAGAACCTCCTTAAGCGCGGCATGTCCGTCGAAAGAACGGGGTACAAAATGTTTCGGTTGTAATAAATACGGGCACATAGCGGCGAAATGTCCCGAAGGCGCGAACGCGGAAAGGAAAAAAAGTTGTAATATCGTACAGGCAGATTCCGGAAAATGCCGTAAAGACGTTGTTATAAACGGTACGAAGCTAAGCGCAATAATAGATTCGGGCAGTGATATTAGCTTAATGCGTAAAGAGTAATATAAACAGATCGGGTTGCCGACTCTCGGGAATCGTACGATAACATTCCGAGGAGCGGGCTCAGAAGAAAACAACGTTAAGGGATATACGTTTAAAGATTTGCATTGATATGGAAATCTACGACATTGTCGTACACCTCGTTCATGACGGAATAATTCCACACGGTATGCTTATAGGATCTGATATTTTAAGAAATGTCGAAGTACATATAAAAAGGGGCGTCGTAAATATTTCAAAGATCGTAAACGATTTCGCGGAATTATCAGAGGTGTATACAGTACAAGATAACGTCGTGGATTTGTCGCATATCAAAGATGAATATATTAAAAAAGAAGTAGAATGTTTAGTTACAGAATATAGGCCGAAAAAAGAGAAAGAGGTAGGTATTAAAATGATTATAGTCGTAAAAGATGATATTCCAGTTGCCCAAAACGCGCGCAGATTATCGCTGTAGCAAAAAAAGCCGAAGTAGATTCGCAAATTTGTGTAGTGCTTAACGAGAGGATAATTATAACAGGACAACGAACACAGAAGACAACGTCGAAATCATATCGACGAAATTCAACTGTATTTATATTTGCGTATTTATATCATTTCAAAGCGTATCTTGTATTTGCGTGTTAACCGAAAGTTCGTTTTTTTTTTCATATTTGTCAATTTTAATTACTGACACGATGGCCGACGAGATGCGTGCGCTTGTACAGAGACGTGCGGCAATAAAGGGGCAACTGACTCAATCAGGAGTTATTTAGAAAAATGGTCTGAGCGTCCGGATGAACAGCAATTGATTGAGCGTTTAGAAAAATTTAAGACTACGTGGGATAGCTTTGACGAGGTACAGACTAGTATTGTTTTAAATGATACCGTTACGGGCACACAATTAGATGACAACGGAAGAACGTATTTTGAGGAAGCATATTTTGAACTGGCGGCGCGTGCCCAGCGTCGACTTGCGTCTGTCAGGCCCACCGCGACTAACGATAATGTAATAATTCAAAACCAGCTTCCTGTACAAAACGTGAAAGCGAATATAAAGCTCCCTACAATTAACTTGCCTACTTTTAGTGGTAATTATGAGGCATGGATGGGCTTTTATGATAATTTCAAATCGATCGTACATGATAACGAGAACCTTTCTCCTGTTCAGAAACTACAATATTTAAAATCATCGTTGATAGACGAAGCCGCTCAGGTAATTCAATCTCTAGAAATCTCATCACAAAATTACGAAGTAGCATGGGCTCTCGTAGTGGAACGGTACGATAATAGAAGAATAATAATACAGAGCCATATTCGCGCGCTGTTTGATCTTTCGGTAATATCTAAGGAATCTTCAACACAATTGAGATCGTTGGTCGATGCCGCTTTAAGACACACGCGAGCACTTCATGCTCTTGGTCAACCGACCGAATCGTGGGACGCATTGCTTTTTCATTTATTGACATCAAAACTCGATCGAAATTCTTATCAAGAATGGGAGCGTTCTCTTGACGGAACCGATATGCCGTCTATTGATGATTTTTGGAAGTTTTTAAAAAATCGCTGTCATGTTTTGGAAAACGTAAGTCAGGAAGTCTCAGTTTATTCGAGTCAGTCGAATAACGCGGCGAGAAATCAATTGCGATCGAGCAATATGCGAGGTAATACGAAGCAAATGGCGAGGCCGACCCTTGTGACCGTTTACGCTAAATCCGAGTGTACCATTTGTAAACAGAACCATAACATATTTCAATGAGAACAGTTTCGTAGGATGAGTCGCGAAGCGAGATTTGCCAAGGTGAAATCCATGGGGCTCTGCTACAATTGTTTAAGACCAAATCATTTGGTTGACGAATGTAAATACGGTACGTGTAGAAAGTGTAAACGTAAGCATCATACCCTTCTTCACTCTGAAGGTGATTCATTTGATCGAGGATCTGGTAGCTCTAATGCGGCAAACGCCAATCCAATCGCAAGTCTCCAAGCGGTCGTCGCTTTGAGAGTTCTTTTGGCCACGGCATCCGTGCGTATGTTCAATGACCGCGGAGAGCCTGTCAAATGTAGAGTTTTGTTGGATAACGGGTCTCAGTCTAACTTTGTTACTGAGAAATTAAGCGGTATTCTGAATCTCACTAAGAGAGAAGCTAATATTCCGGTGTCGGGTTTTAATCAAAGCTTAACGCATATTAAGCATTCTATCGCAACGACCCTTCAGTCAAGGGATGGACGTTTTGCTGCGGAGTTGTTATTCTTGGTGGTCCCTCGAATTACAGAGACACTTCCTGCACAGACGATTAACCGTTGCGATTTAAATCTTCCCCGAAATATCACCTTGGCAGATCCCGAATTCTGCACTCTTTCAGAGATTGACGCTCTTATAGGAGCGGAACTATTTTACCAATTGTTATGCGTGAGTCAGATCAAATTAGGCAATGCGCTGATATTACAAAAAACGCGTCTTAGTTGGATAGCGTCGGGAGCTATACACGATAGGGGGCCTGCGTCAAATCGAATAGCATGTGATTTAGTGGTAGACTCGCTGGATGCCCAGGTCGCTAAATTCTGGGAAATTGAGGAGGTCTCGAGCGTTAGGCGTTTGTCCGATGATGAGAGGGCGTGCGAACAACACTTTTCTCAGACGCACTCGAGGGATGAGAGTGGCCGTTATATAGTTAGGCTTCCGTTTAACAGTAGAAAACGCGAACTGGGCGACTCTTATCAAACAGCAAAGAAAAGGCTGTATTCACTGGAAAGGAGATTGGCACGAGATCCTCAATTGCGTGAAGAGTATACGGATTTTCTTGACGAGTATGAGAGGCTTGGTCACATGACTGAGATCCCTGTCTCCGATGTGGCCGAAGAAGGATATTTTATTCCACATCACCTTGTCTTCAAGCGTGACAGCCATACAACAAAATTGCGAGTTGTTTTCAACGCTTCATCAAAGAGCAGTACTGGCGTTTCGCTCAACAATGTACTTTTCGCTGGTCCGACCCTGCAGGAGGACTTGTTCTCCATCGTTACGAGATTTCGAACCCACCGATATGTACTGCGTGCCGACATTGAGGAAATGTATAGGCAGGTTAAGGTACACCCCGAGGACGGCAAATATCAAATGATTTTATGGCGTAGAAGTACAGAGGATCCGATCAAAATATACATTTTGAACATGGCAACTTATGGTACCGTGCCAGCTTCATTTTTCGTCGTTCGTTGCTGCAGTTGTCTGAGGACGAGCGAAGGCGTTTTCCCCTGGCTTGCAGGATTCTTCTTGAAGACTTCTACATGGACGATGCTCTCACCGGTGCATCGAAACTGGACCAGGCTCGAGAATTGCGTGATGAGCTTATCGGGTTGCTGACTTGTGGTGGCTTCCATCTGCGCAAATGGTGTTCAAACGAACCAAGTCTGTTGGAGCCACTACTGGATCAATCCTTGGACCCTCACATTTGTTTGAGCGAGTCTGAAACTCAGAAGACCCTCGGTATTCATTGGCATCCCCGTGAAGACCATTTAATTCACGTCGTAAAACCGTTTACCGAGCACCAGCGAACGACGAAGAGAACCATGCTTTCCCAGGTTGCCTCACTCTTCGATCCTCTTGGACTGGTTGGTCCTGTTATCGTGAAGGCGAAGATTATGCTGCAGCGGCTGTGGGAGGATAAGCTGGATTGGGATGAATCCGTTCCTGTGGACATCGCTACCTCCTGGAGCAAATACAGGGAGCAAGTCGAGCTCCTAAATAACTTCATCGTTCCTCGTTAAGTCACAACAGAGAATGTAATTAATGTCCAGTTACAATGTTTCTGCGATGCAAGCGAAAGGGCTTATGGAGCAGTGCTATATCTGAGATCTACAACTTCTTCGGGGATCCACATTGTTCGATTGATTTGTTCCAAAACGCGGGTAGCGTCAATCAAGAAAGTAACTTTACCCCGGCTTGAATTGAGCGCGGCGGATCTCCTTGGTAAATTGCGCGGAGCCACTATTAAGTCATTTAGAATTGAGATAGATGAAGAGTTCTTTTGGTCGGACTCTACGATCGCGCTCCATTGGATCCAAACTTCACCACACAGATTGAAGACCTTTGTTGCGAACCGAGTTTCGCACATTCAGGAGAACACGCAGCATGGAAAGTGGAGACACGTGCCGTCTCAGGACAATCCCGCAGATGCGTTGTCAAGAGGACAGAGTTTCCCCGCGAATTTGTCAACAACCCCATTTGGAAAAATGGACCGTGTTGGCTATCCAAGGATGAAGCTGCTTGGCCGCTGAATTTAATACCTGGTATTGAAATTCCGGAACAGCGCTCAATTGTTGTCCTGTCAAACGTTCACGGTGTCGATACGGATCTGTTTCTAAGGTTTTCATCCTTTGCTAAGATGAAAAGGGTCATAGCACGCTGTATACGATTCGCTTCTAAGTGTCGCTCCTTGGAGGTCGCCTCGGGGGACCTCAGCGTCGGGGATTTGGGTGACGCCGAGATGCGTATTATGAGATTAGTCCAACTCTCAGCCTTCGAGAGCGAGCTGCGTAGTTTGCGTGAGAAGCGTCTGTTAGACAAGAAAAGTAGGATATTGTCTCTTAGCCCGTTTTTGGATGTTGATGGGGTACTCTGAGTCGGGGGTCGATTGAGACACGCGGATCTGACTTTTGCTCAGAAACATCCTATCTTATTGCCAGCTAACAATCACGTTTCCGAGTTGATAATTCGCGAGACTCATATCAAACTTTGTCATGCCGAAAGTCAGGCGACCTTGTATGCAATTAGAGAAAATTATTGGTTGGTAAACGGAAAAAACCGCGTCAAAGGAGTAATCCAAAAATGTGTAGTGTGTTCTCGTTGGCGCCCCTCGACTCCTGAGTATCAGATGTGCGATTTGTCTAGGGTTAGATTTGCAGGCTCTAGACCTTTTAAAAATGTTGGTATTGATTTCTGCGGCCCATTCTTTATTAAGAAAAAAAAGCATCGTAACCGTAATAAAATTAAGATTTACGTCGCCGTGTTTGTGTGCTTGGTTGTCAAGGCTGTTCATCTGGAAATTGTTAGCGATCTGACCACCGAGGCTTTTATAGCTTGTCTAAAACGTTTTTTCGCACGCCGTAGCAGAGCTCGAGTGATCCAATCGGATAATGGTACAAATTTTCTGGGCACAAGCAATCACTTAAAGGAGATATTCAAATTTTTCCAGGAAGGAAAAAATAATCAAACGATTAATCGGTATTTGGCAAATGAAGAAATTCAATGGTCCTTCATACCTCCCCGCTCACAGCATTTTGGAGGAATTTGGGAGGCCTCCGTAAAAAGTTTTAAATATCATATGCGTCGTACGATCGGAGAAGCTCTCTTCACTTTCGAAGAATTCAATACGTTTGTAATAGAAGTAGAAGCAATATTAAATTCGAGGCCTCTCACACCCATGTCATCTGATCCGAATGACCCACTCGCTCTGACGCCGGCGCATTTTCTAATAAGTGCTTCTTTGCAAACTATTCCGGAATATGATTTCACGAATGAGGCTTTGAATCGCCTTTCAATTTGGCAACATATTCAAAGAGTGAAGCAGCATTTTTGGAAGCGTTGGACTAAGGAGTATTTGAATGAGCTGCAGCAGCGTACCAAATGGGTTTCAAATAAACCGCATAATGTTAGCGTAGGGGACCTTGTGATTCTCAAGGAGGATAATGTGCCTCCGTTACATTGGGTCACTGGCAGAGTGACAACTACTCATCCTGGTGATGACGGTATAATTAGAGTAGTAATAACAGTTAGGACAGCTCACGGTACATATAAGCGTTGCGTTAAGAAAATATCTCCGTTACCCGTTGTAGCTTAAGAACCGAGTCAGTTTTGCTTTTAGTTTTATTTTCATGTTGTATTTATTTGCTATGATTGTTAAATATTAAACGTATATCGTTTAAAGGGGGCGGCATGTCGGGATTTCGCGTGATATTGTACGGCCCTGCGCCATCATTTCCTCCCCCTTTCTATACTATCTTCCCGACTCGAATCGGAGCGAACTGGACAGACGTTCGGGGTAGTCGTCGTTGTACCATGGTCGCACACAGGCCACATTTTGTAGTAGTCTTTATACAGAATTCGACACAGACAGTATCGTCATTGTAACATGACCGCACGCGCCGCACATATATTCCTCGTGATAATCGAAATAAACTATAGAGCGGTGTTAATATAATCAGAACGTATTGGCTACTTCTACCTATCATTAAAGTATATAAGAAAAAATAAGTTGTCCAGAGCGTAAAAACTTTGCCACTACAGGGACGACCGTCGTGCGCGCATAAGACGTACGGCGCATCCGTCCCAACATTTAATATAAAATAATATTCGACGCTGACTGGCAAAAAAATTTATTCGTATATCTGTATTGTTAACATTGTTATGCGATAACTTTATGCTCACCAAAATAAGCAAGTATAAGAAGAAAGAAGCGTCAGAGTCAGAGGATCACCACTACCTTGTTCGATCATCGATGTCAAGCAACAAGGCGCCGGTATACTTGGATGGGTGACCGGCTGAGAGATCGGATTTCTTCGGACAAACGCACGGCAGCTATATAGTCCAGTCGGCACGTCGTTAAAAATGACAAATAAATCGACTAATTAGGACAAAGCTGCAACAAATTTTAATCGCTTTGTTTGGGTGTCAGTAATGACATACTAAGTTTTCCACCTCCCCCGTGGTGTGCTTCGGCCGCCATCTTGGAAGAAAGGGGTGAAAAATCGGTTTTTTGCGAATATCTCGGTTTCCATTAGACTTAGGCTAAAATAGTTTAATGCAATATTGTAGGGAATTAAATTCTCTACAAAAAAGGAAGTATAGGTTTTTTTTCTACGACCAATAGTTTTGGCGCTAAAGCCGGGAGGAGTAGGATACTTTGTGTAACAAACGGTTTTAGCGACTCTATCTCGCCGTATCTTACTTGTCAGGTAAATGGCGTTGTTATTGTGCTAGTGAACCGTTGTCGTTTCACACATCTGGTATGTATGTATTATTTACTCGACAATGCTATAAACACTTCTTGTTAAAAGCTAGGAGCATCCAAGATTTTAAATAAATTAAAAGATATAATTATTACGATTATCTCACTGTTTACAATGTCCTGTTTACAATACGTCCTTCGGTGGCTGGGCTCAGGTCAAAATTTAGCCCTTCGTCCGCATACGTTTTTTTGGCACCTTTACGCCGCATAGGTGGGTCGTTTTCGTCTTGACGTTTTTTTTCAAGTGTTAAAGTGTTACAAAAAATCTGAAAAAATTTATGGAGGTAATTCAAACCTTCAATTTGAAGTATCAATCATAAAATTATAAGCAATTTAATTTTTTCACATATTTTTTATTTAAGAAATGGAGCAACTACAACTACAACTTGTAAAATCATCTTTTACTCAAAAAATCATAACTTTAAGACAAATAAAGATATCGAAATGAATAAAAAAAGAAATTGAAGGGAAAAAACGTACCTTTCATAAAAAAAATATTGCATGCAATTATTTTGAAATGAAGTGCTTAAGTGTTCGCCGCCAACCTCGTTTTTTCAAGAATTACGTGTCTCCTGTGACGGCTGGAGGAGGTCTGGCGCCTTGAAACTCGGTAGGCGGGTTCTCGGGGAGCATAACTTTTTTTACGGATGCGCAGTGGCGCCATTTCTACGCGTTTGCAAAAGTTACAACTACATTTGATTTTCGCCCGGACGAAAACGACCCACCTATGCGGACGAAGGGTTAGTATAGCATTGGCTTTGGTCAACGTTGCATGTGTTTTTCGTGTTCCTATGCTAAAATAAAATTATGAATTTAGAGCAGTGTTTTATTTGTGAGGAGACGTTATCCCGCGGTGATACAGTTGATGTCAAAGAAAGAGGGATTAAAACTCTCATCGAGAGCAGTAGAGAGAGAAAAGACAATAAACAATTATTCCTAAGGGGATTAAACTGTGTAACTGCTCTGTGACTTGTTTCAACTATCGAGGTCAAGCATGCACAAACATTGACATTATAATAGACCACTGTGACGATGAAGAAATCGACGTAACTGTTCAACATTTTGAGGAAACATTGACCGATCCTGACAATGAGATTGATTCGAACAACGAGGAAGAACCAGAAGAAGCAGAAAAGGAAGATAATATTGAGGAAAAGGAAGATGCTGCGGAAGATGACATTTGCCAACTCTCTACATAAAAAAGACCAAGATTAGAATAATTAATTTTTTTATAACGGTTTTTTTTTATTTGCGCACCACGTTCCGTGCCTGACTCGCATTCGCCGTTTTAAATCGTTGACACTTTCACGAGTTTATTATATTATTGAATAATTACGATAACCCTGGCAAAAAAATTCTCATAATCTTAATAATAAACTGAGTGGATTAGGCCTACAAGGGACACCACATAAAAAAAACGCGCCACTAACTCTACCGCAAGGTGGTGAGGAAATGAGTTCAAAAGTATACTACAGCCTCTGAGAAGTGAGATACGGCGAGATAAAGTCGCTGAAACCGTTTGTTACAAAAAGTATCCTACTTTTCCCGGCTCTAGTGCCAAAACTATTGGTCGTAGGAAACCTATATTTCCTTTTTTGTAGAAAATTTAATTCCCTACAATATTGCATTAAACTATTTTAGCCTAAGTCTAATGGAAACCGAGATATTCGCGAAAAACCGATTTTTCACCCTTTTCTTCCAAGATGACGGCCGAAGCACACCACGGGGGAGGTGGAAAACTTAATATGTCATTATTGTCAC